GAATTTCATCACTTTCCTAGAATTTGAGTTGTGTATTAATTGCCTGGTGATAAACAACTGGAAGTCTGTGAGTTGGAGAGACAGACACACAAGAAGCCTAACATGTGTTTCTAGACCATACAGATGAGTGAGAGAACAGAGCTGAGTTTGCGGACTGAATACTGCAGAATCTCGTTTGTGACAGCTACTCGGCTGAGAATTAGCTACAGACTTGGGTTGACTCATTGATTTCATTAAAAAGTTTTGGTAGCTAGAAGTGTGGATAAATCGTTCTTCAGTGACTTTACCCCCGAGATGCAGGCATCATGTCCATCGATGCCTTATGTGTATATACTGTTTGCTCTACAGGACTGGCTCATATCACAATTCACATGACCTCTGTGCTCTCATACGAATGTAAGTGACGTCTGTGCTCCGGTTACATGTGTGTAAAGCAAAAGATCTGATGTGATTATCTCTTGAACAAGTGTGACAAATGTTTTCAATTGAGTGGTTTTTGATCAGATCATCAGCTTTGCAGCTAACATCAACCATGTGTAGTACTTGTAGAAATTCTTTGAATTTTATGAGTCTCTAACCGTGTGTTTTTATCTAACCGTGTGTTTTTATCTTAATGTGCATCTACTCAGGGGGAGAAATACCCACTTCGTGCGATGTGTTTGGTTCAGTTTATTTGTGCACTCTGATGCTCTTGGATTTATCAATGTGCTTTGTTTCGGGTTCCTCATATTCTCGACTTTATAGGAGACTAACTGATAGATTGATATAGAGTGTTGTTCTGCATTTTGAGCTTTGTTGGAACAGGTTGAGTAGGTTGTCACATTCAGATAAAAAGGGGGAGAATGTAAGCTCAAGGTTTGTGAGCTTGTTCCGGTTAAGATGAGAGTGTGTTACACAGTGCGATGATTGTGTAACACAATGCAATAAGTTTGGTACGTGTAATGACGTGGCGTAAACTTATGGAAATAGAAGATATTNCATTTTGAGCTTTGTTGGAACAGGTTGAGTAGGTTGTCACATTCAGATAAAAAGGGGGAGAATGTAAGCTCAAGGTTTGTGAGCTTGTTCCGGTTAAGATGAGAGTGTGTTACACAGTGCGATGATTGTGTAACACAATGCAATAAGTTTGGTACGTGTAATGACGTGGCGTAAACTTATGGAAATAGAAGATATTGCTTGGGTGCGAAGCAAAGAAGATCTTCTGGTTGGCGATATTTTAGGAAATAGAATATTGTCTTTTTCATGCCTACTTAACGAGGCAACCTAAGAGTGTTTTAGGTTATGCGTTAAGAGAGAAAAAGCTAGAGCAAGAGAGTTGTTCTTGTCGGCTACAGAAATCGAGAAAACAGGGGTTTGGCTTGGGTTTCTGTAACTTAGAGATTAGGAACTGGTCCGTCGCTAGTCGTGTGTGACTGAGCTTAAATCGGATTAAACAGATCTAGGAAGATTGTTTAAAAGGTTTCTAATATACAAGAAGTGTTCTTGAATAACTTGTGTACTGTTCTTATTTGCGTGTCTCTGAACTTTCAAGAGAGAGAATAGTTTTTTTTAAAGAAAAGGTGATATACCTTTAAGAGCTCGTTCTTCTCAAGAGTCTCCAGAAATGAGAAAACAACTGAATCTGTAACACCAGATTTTCCGACAAGTTGACATTTCAACTTGTCACCCAAACTATGCGCGTAAGAAGCCAATTCCTTCTTCTCCTTTATCGTCAGCTTCAAACCCGAGCCCCTAGCTTTCTTCTTCATCTTCTCTATCTTCTCCTCCTTTTCTCCTAATCCCATCTCAGAAACTGCTTCTGAGTCCTCACTCTCCACCTCATCTTCTTCTTCTTCTTGGCTGTAATCTTCTTCCTCGCTTTCTTCGTCTTCTCCGAGATCTGGCTCATCGACGGCAGAGAAGGATTTCACTACGAGTGAAGAAGGAAGCGGTTTTGAAGAGATTGACTGAAAGTGAGTTTTGTTACTACGGCGGCTGGATTGACAGGTTAAAGCGGAGAAGGAAAACGGTCTGAAGAAGAGACAGAAGGAAGACAGTGGTTGAGGATGTCGGAGAAGGTTGTGGATAAGATGTGTCGATGTTGAAGAAGACGGTCGTATTGTTACGCTCGCCATTTGCAAATTGCAACTACACTCTCTCTAATTAGTTTATGTGAGACGACCCCTGTATTTAAAGGATTTCTAATTAAACCCCCTTTTTAATGTGATTATTTCACAATCAATCCCCTTAAGTGTTATTATTATACAGTTGTTAGTAATACAAGGCTTGCGCAGTGGTTGCTGTATAACGGGCCATATTAGGCCCAGTTATGACCCATTAGATTTTTCTTGCCAGCAATGACATTGACAAACCAGAGAATGTAGTGACTTAAAATAACTTAAGGTATGATCTTTTACCCCCAAATAATTCCTATTTAACACCAGATTTTTTTTTTCACTTAACACCGGATTTTTCTTACTAAACACCACGTATTTTTGCTTTTCTTTTACGACATATGAAGGGAATTTAAAGGCCACACCACATGGCACGTGAGAAAGGAAAAGCATGCACGTGAACCAGCTGTGCAATGAAGCTTAAAAAGCTGAGAGAGAGAGCTATGACAACTACTTAAGCTTTGACAAGCAGACACTATGTATTTATGCATTAGTGTATTCAATTGCTATACATTTTTACAAGGGGACCTTTTTTACAAGTCTATATATGCCATTTCATTTACAAAAAAAACATCATCCAGTTCGAGTCATAAATATCATTCTAATTTACGTGTCCAGAATAGACGAAGACAGCTTCGGATAATTGACATTGCTGTTATGATAAGTGTTGTCAAATAATAGTAACTATAATTATTTAAGCAAGACACAAGATTCCACATGCACATGTTACTGCTTAAGCATTATGTATATGTCGAGCTAAAATGAATACTCGACCGAAAGAGACTCGAATTTATTTCATTACTAAATAAATGAAACGAAACAAATTGGTTTGAGCTTGTTTCGTGATGTTTGTTGTTGGTATATCATTTAGCGTTAGATGTTAGAAAAAAAAAGTTTAGCGTTAGAGTAATTAATAATACAATGGTGGTGATCGGTCTTAGTTGGTTTGATTGGTTGGTCCTACTAAGAGCGATAGTGTCTACGTGTAAAGCTTTCATCAGATCAGACGAAAGGAGCAGCGATCACATGTGCGTTCAAAATCCAATCCTCCTTTTCCTCACCGTCCAATTATTCTCGCGTCTCCGTTCACTCTCCTCTGGCCCAAGCTCCTATAGTTTGTTTATATTATTTTGTGTGTTTCTAAAAAATAAAATATAGAGAAAATGGTTGTAACGTAGTTTACAATGCAATGTATCCCGGTAAAGGCAGATCAATCTCCGTGTATGATTGTGTCGCATATTTCAAGTTTTTGCATGTTCCTACGCGAAGGATAATATTGTTTTTCTTTGTAATTACACAAATGTAAGTAATTTGAAGGATTATTAGCTCTTACTGTTCTGATTCATATATAAAATTAAAGTAAGCATAAATAAAAGTCAAATTATTGTTTTAAACAATTAATTTTGTATAACAATCAAATACTTACTTTTCCTATTGCAACTTAGACATTTTTTAATTATTTAAGGCGTTGGCAGAAATAAAAAGGTAAAAAAGGGGGGGAACACTGTATATGGTCAGCCATTGTTACTCCCGCTCGTCGTCTCGTGGCTTGAACTAGTTTTGAAAACCATTGTTAAAAGTGCGCGCTTTTTCCACTAGTCTCTCTCGGTCACACGGTGGTCTTCAATACGTCACGTCGGCAACACAGTGAACTTTATTTGAATAAATGCTACTTAGTATATAAAATTAATTTCATTTTTGTCTTCCCCAAATTCGTGTTTTGTCGTTCTCCTCCAAAAATTTCAATTATTTTCAACGACCACAATTAATTAAACAAAAAATTGGAAAACAAAAAAAAAAAACAAAAATTCAAAATCTGAAATTTCAACCTCCTCGTTTCTTCACCCAGCAAGAAGAAGAGAGAGAGAGAGTAAAGAAGAAGATCTCTCTCTACACTACACCTCCTTCCCTTAAAGAATACGAAACAACCTCTCTCTCTCTCTCTACAATTGTCTCACATTCTCTCTCTACCATCTCACTGCACAATCGAAAGAAGAAGTAGAGAGAAAGAGTCACAATGATTTATTCTGTCTCCATCCATGTGACCTCCCTCTGACACATTCTTCTCTGATTCAATTCGATTCTTCTCACCGATTCCGAGTCACCGAGTTGACCATCTCTCCTCCGAGTTTCTAGGTCAGTGAATGGCATCATCCTCATCTCAAACAAGGAGCAGCTCTAGACCACAAAGTCCAACCTCCTCCACCTCTTCTCATCTCAGTAACCGTCTCATCCCCCGTTCCTCCTCCGCTAACTCCGCCGCCGCAATCGGCTCCCGATCTATGACGACGACGACTACTCGCACCTTCTCCGACTACAATCCAATCGGCTCCGACAGCTTCGGAACCGGATCCTCCGTCCCGTACCCCTCGGAGGAGCTTCTCGGCGAGCCGGTGGAGGAGACTATCAGCTCCGAGAGGGATAGCATCTCCGTCACCGTTCGTTTTCGTCCGTTGAGGTATACAATACTTAGATCTGATCGCCGTGGACTAGATCTGTTGAAATGTTCAGTTTGTTGAGATTCTGAAAATTGATTTCGATTGCAGTGATAGAGAGTATCAAAGAGGAGATGAGGTTGCTTGGTATCCTGATGGAGATACTCTCGTCAGGCATGAGTATAATCCCCTCACTGCTTACGCTTTCGGTATTTGCCTGAAAATTCTCTTTATTTGTCAATTTTTTTTTTTAATATTACATTGATTTATACTGATGAGTGAATGTTTTTTTCCTAATTTGTGGATTGTCAGATAAGGTATTTGGACCACAAGCGAATACTATGGACGTTTATGATGTTGCTGCAAGACCTGTTGTCAAGGCTGCCATGGAAGGTGTTAACGGTATGTGGAAATTACCTTCCAAATTGGTCACCATTTTAGTCTCCTGACTCACTGTTTTGGAAATTTTGGCAGGAACTGTTTTTGCTTATGGTGTTACAAGCAGTGGAAAGACCCATACCATGCATGTAAGGCCTTTTTTTGCCTTCTTTACATTTCTCATCTGATTTTTCTTTATTCATAGGGTTCTCTTTTGCAACTTGGTTCTCCTTTGATATCTATCTATCTGCTGGTTATTCGGGATTACTCTAAACATTTACATGGTAACTAAAAGATACTATACAAAGACCACTTGACATAAATTTTAGCTGATGTTTATGTGAGTGGAATTTTTGGAGGTCTTCATTTTGTTTGACCATGCTTATCTTTAGTAAAGTAGTTGTCTTAACAGTTGGATATTAAATTCTCGTCCAAAGAAGTAGAACATATATCTGATATTCTTTTTTGTTTTGCCATTGGTTCCTTTGCGATATGCATAGGGTGATCAAGAATCCCCTGGGATCATACCGCTAGCAATTAAAGACGTGTTCAGTATCATCCAGGATGTAAGTGGTCTTCATCTCTTTTCTCATCCTATCACGTCTTTTGTTTTTTTATTCATGCCCCCTAATTGGCTGCTTTACCATATTTCAGACTCCAGGAAGGGAATTCCTGCTCCGTGTTTCATATCTTGAAATATACAACGAGGTTAGTGGAACGTTCTCTCCTTGATTCATTACTTGCTAAGCCTTGAAAAGTAGTCTTTAAGTCTGGGATTTGTTTCCCTGCTCTTTACCTTATCACTGGGAAGTAAACTGCTTATATTATATTTAGTTTGGGTGACTACACATCACCTCTCTACTTGTGTCTGTTTCATCTGTCTACAGTTTATCTGATTATTGTCCTTGTATCAGGTGATAAATGATTTACTGGATCCAACAGGCCAAAATTTACGAGTTAGAGAGGATTCCCAGGTTTGCTTTCTTAACCACTATAGAATGCTTAGCTTTCTCCATCTCTCTCTCACAAACACGTGCAAGTGTATAGCATTGTGGTAATTCAGAACGAGTTAGCTTTGAATCACGATATGGATGTGAAGTCACTTAATTGTTGATTCACATTGCATCCTTCCTGTTTATGAGTTATTTTGCCTTAGTACAGAATGTAATATTTGTTTCTAGGGCACTTATGTTGAGGGTATCAAGGAAGAAGTTGTTTTGTCTCCTGGCCACGCACTATCGTTCATTGCAGCTGGAGAAGGTAATTAGAAAACTTGACCTCTCAAACATTTCTTGATTTTCTGAACTCTGTCCTTACTATTGCTGTTGTTTAATGGCAGAACATCGCCACGTTGGTTCAAATAATTTCAATTTGATGAGTAGCAGAAGTCACACTTTATTTACACTGGTATGTCTTCAAGCTCAAAACTTGTCTAGTTTAATTTATTTCTCTTCTCAGTGTCTCTGCATGATATTTGTTTGCTCTTACAAGTGTATCTACGACATGTTTTAAGTCTACTTCGTATCTGTTTGCAGATGATTGAAAGTAGTGCTACTGGAGATGAATATGATGGAGTTATTTTTTCTCAACTCGTAAGTGTTTCTTCGTTTAGTTATTGTAGAAGATCTTTTATTTTTAAGTTGTCTCTAACTGTACATTTTTCTTGTTTAGAATTTGATTGACTTGGCGGGATCCGAGAGTTCCAAAACTGAAACAACTGGGTTGCGGAGGAAGGAAGGTTCATACATCAACAAGAGTCTTCTAACTCTTGGAACTGTAGGTGTCTTTCTTTTGATGACATGCCAATCATAAACACTGTTACTGCATAATGCCGGACTTGCTAATAGGAACAACTTAATTAACTTCTTCATCCCATTCTTGTCATTAAAGAATCACAAACGAATTTGCAGTTGCTTTGGGAATATACTTATGATTCTCAGTACATTTTTGCTTTTCACTGATCCAGTTGCGTTAGTATTTCTTGATACTGGAGTTTCCGATACGTAGTATGGTGTTTTTTGTATTTTTTTGGTCTGTCAATGGTAGCATTGTCACTTAAACCTTTGAGATAGAAGGGTGTTTAATTATTTCTTGTTGTTTATCTATGAAGGTGATTGGAAAACTTAGTGAGGGTAAGGCAACTCACATTCCATATCGTGACTCTAAGCTAACTC